TGCATTGCTCGAATCTAAAATTATTTATTGTTGGAATGGATGGAACCTATTATGTTTGAATTGATTATTATTTATAATTTTAATTAATTTTTTCTTAAAAATATAAATTATTATTTAATCAAATCAGAATAAAGATGTCGATTTTGTTTGAATTCGATAAAATTGAAATTAATAGATTATTTTTGATAAAATTTTAAAGAGACATAAATCTTCATTGAGTTAAAATGGAAAAAAAAATGTTGGCTTTTGAAATGGACGTTTTACTTTGAAATTAATCAATACATAAGAATAATAATAATAATAAATCAATTTTAAAATTAAGTTTTGAATTTGTTTTAAAAAAATGTATAAAATAAACAATTTCTTAATCAGGAAAAAGAACTTACTAAACAAGAATACAAAAATAATAGATAAATGGGATATTAAAAAAAAAAAAAGGGAAAGAAGAAGGAAAGGGTACAAATATGAAGGGGTTTCTTACTTCAAAGCAATTGGGTTTTCAAAGAACAGAGTCCAGTGTTGAGAAATGAAAGAGATGAAGAAGACTTGCATGACCCTCAACTCAGCAGCAGAGACAATAGCCTACAACCAAGACCTCTTGACAGAAATCCTCCTCAGATTACCCACAAAATCTCTCATCAAATTCAAGTGCGTTTCAAAGCAATGGTTGTCCATCATTTCCGACCCTGACTTCTGTGTCTCCCACACCCGCCACCACCACAGCAATGGGTTTCTCTCCCCCACCGCTCTCCTGCTCAAAGGTGACTGCTACACCCCTCCCTCTGAATTCGCCATAGTCCCTTTGAAGCATTACAGTAAAGTCCCTTCCTTTCATTACATCCATGACCCCGACATCAAGATTCTTCAATCTTGCAACGGGTTGCTCATTTGTGAGTCCTCTAGACGCAGTTACTTGATTTGCAACCCCACTACTAAAAGTTTCTGGAGGCTGCATCCTCCCAGTAACTCTTATTATAATTTTCTTTCTAAGTTCTGTGTTAATTTGGCTTTTGATCCCCTAAGATCACCTCATTACAAAATTATTTGTATCTGGGAAAATTGCCAGGCACCTTATCAGTTTAATCTGGATGTATTTTCGTCAGAGACTGATTCTTGGAGTATATCCATGATCACTTTTGAAGTAGATGAGGAAGAGGCCATAGATTTCCAAGATGGGGTTTTCTGTAATGGAAAGATTCATTGGTGTGGGTATGGAAATGAGACGTTGTATTTTGATGTAGAGAATGAATCTTTGGAAACAATGCCGATGACATTACCAACCAGAATGGATGCACCAGAGGAATGTAGATATTTTGGAGAGTCTCGAGGAGTTTTGTATCTTGCGGTGACTTACTGCATGGCAGTGTGTTTAGAATTCGATGTATTTGAGATGGCAAGAGATTATTCTCAGTGGAACTGGAAAAAACGTCTGAATCTTGGTGATGCAGTGAAAGTTTTTCCTGAGTTAGAATTGGGTTGTGTTGAGTACTGTCCTGGATTCTCTGGTGTGTGTTTCATTCGATCTGAGAAAGAAGAAGAGCCAAAGGTTGTCTTATGGGCAGATGGTAAAATTATTTGCTTTGATTTCAATGAAGGGGCATGGAAAAAGCTTTATGATCTAGGGCCAGGTTTCAAAATTGGCTCCCTTTATCTAGGAGAGGATGATCATTTACATTATGAAAAATTTCATGCTTATCAATACTTTGAGAACCTCTCTTGTTTATAAGGAGTCTTTACTTCTGTCGACAGCAATCTTCTTCACTGTTATGTTGGTAAGTAACAATGAAACTGTTTACTATAATCTTGTACACCTATCACCATTTTGTTGTTTACCCTCTTTACTTTTCCCACTAACAGAATGAATCGTAGTAGTTAATTTTTCAGATAAAATTAGTTATGCACATTCCTCTCTTGTTTTTTTTTTTCTTTTTTGTGTACCATTATTCAGGTATCTTTATGAGCAACTTTACTTTTTCTGTTATTGTTTTTGAAGTTACTTTTGCCTGCATAGGTTCTTAGGGGCTAGGTTTTGTTTGAGCTACTTATTATTTGACAAGATGATATCCTCCACATGCTGGTCCCGTTTATGTACTTTGGCAGGTTTAAGGTCAAGTCTCTGTTGGGTTTAAATGCTAATCAGAATTCATAAACTTTGATCATTGATGTTTAAAATGTTGAAATTTTGGTCACATAAGTTTAATCATGAATTTGTTCAAGCATTTTCCTTCATTAATTCATCTTAATCCAGGAAAAAGATAAGCCTGGGAAAGTTTACACATTGTCCTTTTCATCACATGTCCTAAATGCTCAGCTATTGTTATTCAATCTAGGAAGGAAGAAATGTCAAAGCTTGTGGTAGTTGTGGACAGGAAAGCAATTCCTATTTATTTAAACAACTGATCATGGAAAAAGCTTTCTTATCCAAGGCCAGGTCTCTGTTTAGTTCTTATATTGTTAAGTAATTCACATTAGCATTCTAACGTTGTACATAGGATGATCTTTTTCTGTTTACCTGTATAAAGCATTTGAATTTTAGTAACCATTACTCCTGCTAGCAAGCAAATACAGCATAAGGTTCTTCCTTCTCTTGAGTATTTAAATTATATATACTGCACAATCTGCCCATTTGTTTGAGCCCCTAATTTTCTTTTTTCATTTTTCTTGTTGGATATATGCCTGTGTGCTGATATCTTTACAAGCTACCACACTGATTTGCATGATTCTTAGAGCTTTTTTTTTTTGGATAGTTATGTGAAAGGAAAACTTTGACATCCTTGTTGTTTAACAAGATTATCTTGCCCACATGCTGCTTCTAATTCTTTCTTGTATTTAGTTGCACCCCAGGCTGACCTCTCTTACAGTAGGTCCAAAATCTTTGAAAAGTGGGGAATTTTGATCTGATGCTTGAAAGAAAATTTAGTTCACAAACCATTTCTGAACTTTTCCCTTATGCAATGCAAATGAAAACTTTGTTCTGCTGCCCCTTAGGGTCTCCTTCATTATTTTAAAGGTCCAGCTTGATGGCTTTAGCCGCATTGGCATAGAAAATGGGCATGTGGCTTAAGCGTACGTCAAATTGCATGCTATCTACTAAAGTTCTAACTTACATTCAGTTGAGCATGTGAGTTTGTTATTTAAGGAAATAAAGACTATATAACTTGGGACATTGAAGTTAGTCACTGTTAACATTTACAATAGTCTTCCTTCTTTCTTTGCAGAATTTATTTAGAACATAGGCTATACTTAATATACTGCTCTTATTCATCAGTCATCACTGTTATGATTGCATGCACTAACTTGCACACATAAATGTGATCTTAACCTCCGTTTTAATCATTTTCCCTGAGTATTGACTACAAGCAAGGTGCATACCATATATTGAGTACCTTGCTCAAATAACTGACACCTGTAATTTTCTTTGTAAGTAAAGGCATGAGTAAGGATGGCAGATGCTGATAGTATGATTTAGTTCCATGATGCTGGTATTGCTGAGCAGCAAATGTTTTAAATTTCCTGCAATATTCCGTTAGTAGCAATATGATGAGTGCTTGGATGGATTTGGATATTGTGGTTGCAGACTGCAACCTTCCTGCCTTGTCTGTGCCGAGTCACATTTTCATTGATTTTGTTGTAATAGCATATTGTAATTACACTTTTTTTAATTCTCTACTGTTGTATATTACTTTTATATTAAGGATTCAGGGCAGCCAACCTCAGTTGTACCACTGTTCCTCTTCTAATTGATTGCCTGTTTTTGATTCAACAGGTTGAAGGCATGCAAAGTTGTGCATGACGTTGGCTATTCCAAAGTGGGGACCTATTGTGTACCAACCAATGTGTTGTTAGACATCACACTTGGGTGTTAGTGTGTGGTGAACAGTTATTTTCGTGTCATACTTGGTACAAATATAGCATTGTAATTGTTTATAAATCTGAACAGACTTACGCCCTACCGTTGATAATAGTTTGCTCACCATTACTTGTTCCTTTTTCGTCTGTTAATGTTGCCAGAACACGGTAACTTGAGAATGTGCATCCAATGTAAAGCTGGTGGCCTCTCATGCCCTGTAATGCACTGAACTTACTGTTGATCATACTACAAATGTAAAAAACAATATTGACTCAGTGTAAAAAATCGTTGTCGTTCCATTTGTTACTTGTATTATGTAAAGTCAGGTTAAATTTTTGAGAAATAATCCTAGCTGATTGTGGCTTCTGTAATTAGAAGATTCATTGGGAGGGTTGTAGCGTGGGACATATTTGGGAGAGTCCTGAGGGATTTTGTATAATTGTAGTGACCAACAAACTCTCTATTTGTTAAGAATTCCTAGTTTTTGAGATGGCAAGAGATTATCCTCAATGCTTCTTGAAGAGTGAGTCAGTCTGAATTATGGTGATGCAGTGCAAGCTTTTCCTGAACTGAACTTGGGTTTGGGTCGAGCACCGTTGATGGTTCTTGGGTTTGGGTTTGGAAATTCTTGATCAAAAACAACAAAATTTTAAAATTAAAACAGAACATCAAAGCCTACTTGCGCTTGTTGAATTGATTTATGTATACGAAATTCAACAACTTTTACAAGTTTTATTATTTCATTTATTTATTTAAATTGGTGCTTCAATTAAAAGTAAAAAAATTCTGCACCATTTGTATTGTTAGTTCAATTTCACGCATTGCTATTATTTTCAATTTTTTTTTTTACATATTATTAGTTTTTACAAGTTGAGTCTTATTGTATTATTTGTTATGATTTGTAATTCTTGAAAAAATAATTTATTATATCCATAACTTCATGAGTTAGTTGAATTAAAGAGTTGAAATCGACTGAACAAACAAAAGTAGCAATTCGCACCGTCAACGGAATCAAGTTGTGTATACGTCAATGATGTCTTTTACATAGGCCCCATGGCCGGAACCTGTTACCTTGACAATCACATCTTCACACCAACTACTTAAACCATCAAACGTTGTGTTCGTTTAAATATCTATCCTAGAAGGGTAGAACTGTGCTTTGCATAGTCAGTGAACAAAGTCCCGACACCATGAGCAGCACTATCTCTCCAGCAGCAGACGCCATAGCCAGCAACGAAGACCTCCTTACAGAGATCCTCCTCAGACTACCTGCCAAACCTCTCCTCAAATTCAAATCCGTTTCAAAAGAATGGTTCTCTCTCATTTCCAGCTCCCAGTTCTGCCTCTTCCACAACCGTCGCTACCGTGACAACGCCTCTCTCACTGCTGCTGTCCTCTTGTTCGACTGTGGCACTACCCACACCCCACCTACTGGATTCCACATTGTCCCTTCGAAGAACCAATGCTCCAAAGTCCCCTTCTTCGAGTATCTCGGAGACTCAGATTTCAGAATCATGCAGTCTTGCAATGGTTTGCTTCTTTGCCGTTGTTGTGATAAATTTCAATATTTGAACTACTTTATCTTTAACCCCTCTACTAACAAAATCAGGATAGTATCTTTTCCTCAAGCTGAAGTTGAAGGCTTTGTTTATGCTGTTAACTTAGCATTTGACCCTCTCAAATCTGTTCATTATAAGATTATTTCAATCAGGAGATTGGTATGGGTAGCGCCTAGATTTCAGATTGATATATATTCATCAAAGACTGATTCTTGGAGTGTAAAGGTATTAAATTTTACTAAGCCTGATGATGTCTGGTTAAACTGTGGGGTTTTTTGTAATGGGGCTATTCACTGGGAAGGTGGGGGTAGGAGTTCATTGTATTTAGATGTGGAGAATATGTGCTTGAAAGCAATGCCAACGCCAGCACGGATGCTGGACGCACCTGAGGGATCTTACAGTGAGAGCAATAGGTTTCTGGGGGAATCTCGGGGACATTTGCATCTTGCTGTCAACTACATGCCCCTTTGTTTACAGTTTAATATTTTTGAGATGGCTGCAGACTATTCTGATTGGTTCTTAAAATACCGTATGAATTTGGAGACTGTGGTGAAAGGTTTTCCTGAGATACATTTATATCCTGATGAGGAGGGGGATAATCAAGTATCTGCTATGTGTGTTATACGATCCAAGATAGATGAAGTCTCTACAGTTGTGGTGTTTGTGAATGGGAAGGTAATTTCCTATGATTTGCATGATGGGACATCGACAAAGCTTTGTGATCTAGAGTCATGTCCAAAAACTCATGGTCATCTATCAGATTATGAAGCATTCCACGTCTATCAGTACTTCGAGACACTCTCTTGTGTTTGAGAGACTTTCAATTTTAGCTGGCACCAACGTTCTCAAGTCCAATCAGGTTAAGCAGTCAAGTAACTGAGTTGTATGTTCTAATATTTGTGCTTAAATACACTTATTGTCACTTTTGTATTGAACATATCTACAGTGCGTAGATGAGCTTTATCCTATTGTAAGCAACTGCAGTTGGGAATTAAGGCATTATATATATGTCTTGTGGTTAGTCCACTACATAATGCATGTATTTGTAGTGTTCTAAGTACTCATAAATATGAAAAGACTTTCCCCTTTCTGTTCAATAATAGTTTTTTTTAATTCACTATTTCTTATCTAACCCCCTTTGGACTATTGGTATGTTAGTCAGAAAGCTACAATACCCTGTTCTTTTAAGTGCTCATCCATGCTAAAGATTGTTGGTATCATCCTCGCGCAAGATAAAGAGGATAGAACAAATGTTGGTTGACATGTCTTTTGGATTATAAAACCTGTAAACAGTGTCAACGGTGGTTTACTCTAGAAAGATTACTCACCAGCAAAAACATGAAGTTTCCTGTGACATGCAAGTTGTGGAACATATCAACATACACAATGGATTGGTGGAGGGGTTGCCTCCACTGTGGAAAGATAGGAATGAAGACCAGACATATTTGCTCTATGATTCCCAGTAGATGAACTGCTCTACAATCCCATGTGCTAAAAAACTATATCTGATATGCTTACTTTATCCACACATGATTCAGTTTTTACACAAAAAGAGAACTGACAAAATTGATTTAAATGCAAAGATAAGTGAAAATATTGAAGACAGAAAAACAACACTAGCTAGAAGATTCTGAAATCCTTTTTTGATAAGTTTATTTTCATGAATGCATTTACTGAAACGGAGAATCATGACTTGTTAACATGAGTTGCGTGAAACCTTCAATTCAGCCGAGGGTTCAATTGAAGTAGTTTACCATCCTTTAAATTTTCCGAGTATTATTTTCAAAGCTTTCGATTACATCTTTAAAATCTTCTAATAATTATTTTCAAAATTTCTAAATAATTTTTCTTTAAATCCTGCGAATATTATTTTCAAAAACTTATTTCATCTTTAAATTCTTAGTCGAATGGAATAGAATATCACAAATCACTGTAGAGATTTGCACTAGTGGTATATGAATAGTTGGATGGAATTTCTTTTCAACTTTACAATTGGATGAATTTACTCATGTGCCTGAACGCTCTTTTATCTTTTTAATTTATGGTAGTGTAGCAAAACAGAAGTCCCGATTCCCAAAATCTGAAGAATTAGGCATTGCCGCTATGAAGAAAACCAAACCCTCCACCGCCGCCATTTCCTCAGCAGAAACTATAGCCCACAACCAAGACCTCTTAACCCAAATCCTCATAAGAATCCCTCCAAAACCTCTCTTCAAACTTAAATCCGTCTCAAAACGCTGGCTTTCCCTCATTTCCACCATCCAATTCTGTCACTCCCATTCTCTATACCGCCAAAACCAAGGCTTTCTCACCCCAACGGCTCTCTTTCTTGGCATTGGAAACTACTACAGACTACCCTTTGGATTACCTGTCCTTCCTTTCAACCCTGAAACCCAAGTTCCTGTCTTGGATTTCATTGTTGACCCACAGTTCAAAATCCTCCAATCCTGCAATGGCTTGCTTTTGGGTCAGTGTTACTACAAAAGTGATGAAGGGTTGAGGTATTTCATCTGTAATCCATCTACCCATAAGTTCAGAATTATTTCTTTCCCTGTTTCACAGTTGGGTTCTTTGCGTGCTGTTAATTTAGCCCATGATCCTATTAAATCACCTTATTATAAGATAATATGTGTAAGGAAATTGCTTTCTCCAAGTAATAGGTTTGTTATATATATTTATTCATCAAAGTCTGATGCATGGGATGCTTCTTGGATTAGTTTTCAGGCAAATGAGTATATAAGGTTTGACTATGCTGTTTTTTGTAATGGGGTCATTCATTGGAATAGTAATGGTAGGAAATCTTTGCGGTTTGATGTGGAGAATAAAGTATTGAAAAAAATACCAATGTTGGCTCCTATGTTTCAAGCTCCAGAGGAATCAGAGGATGAGGATAGTCGATATTTTGGGGAGTCTCGGGGCCATTTGCATCTTGGAGTTACATACATGCCACTTTGTTTGAAATTTAATGTTTTTGAGATGGCGGCTGATTATTCTCATTGGTTCCTTAAATACTGTCTTGAACTCGATGATGCTATGAAAATTTTCCCTGACTTGAGGTCGTCCTCTATTGAGAACTATTATGGATTCCCTGTTTTGTCTGTTATCCGATCTGAAGGTGAAGAATCAAAGGTTGTGATTCTTGTGGATTATAAAGCAATTTGCTATGAGCTAAAGGATGGGATTTTGCTAAAGGTTTATGATCTAAAGCAGTATCCTGAGACTCTCAACCGATGTCCATTGAATTATATTGGGATTCAAAGCTTTCAATATTTTGAGACCCTCGCTTGGGTTTGAGGGTCTAACACTCTACTGGCAGTCCAGCATGGGCATACCAATCGTCTCAGGTCTTATTTCGGTAAGTATTCCAAGAGTTATGCTGTATGTTTAATTTTGTGCTTAGGTAAACATTTCTGCAGTTATAGAAGTTTGGATCATACTGTTCTCATTAAGGTAACATTTGATATCAATTTCAAGATCACCGTGATGATTTAATCTCCATGGTGATAAGATCACCAAGGGTTTTTTGATCACTAGAGATCTTAGAATATCATGTTTGGCGTAAAATTATAAATCACCAATGATCTTAAATTTTTGTGCTTGGTATTGCATAGAAAGAAAGACCAAGTACAAAATACCTAAGATAGCCTTATACCTAATATAATAAGATTATTTAAAAAAACAACAATTTCAATTTTTATTCAATTAACCATTAAAAAAATAAGAATCTGCTTGTTCTATAGGAAATTACAAGGCATGAACCAGTTTTAATGAGTATAATTCCCTAAAACAATCAATCAAAGTTCTTGACATGTTCATATGAATATCAAGTTCATAGAAGTTGTCTTGTAATTGAATTAATTAAAAAGTGGAGATTTTTATAAAGACAGAAAATTTGGAGAGAAATGCACACCATTACAAGGCAAATTTCTCCTAAAATGATTTTGCAGATCACCACCCCTGGTGATTAAACTTTCCCAGCTTTTTGGATGGGATTTAGATCACCTTACAACTGATCACTCTTGGTGATCTAAAATCACTGCCATGCAAAATTCCTAAGTTACTACCAAACACAGTCGTCTAATCACAACGAATAGATCACCTCATACCAAATGCCCCCTTAGGGATATTTACTTGTATCAAGTGAAAGCAATCTAGATTTTCTTCTCTTATTTACTGATTTGTTGATCTATCATTCTTTTAAAGAATGCTCACTGTATTCCTCTTGCACCTCTTGTTGATTTGGTTAATTGCATGTATGGTTCAAGATTTCTTGTTTGACTTATGAGATCTTTCAGGATAGTGAATTTGGTTCATGGTTCCCAATGTTGTTCATTATGTTGATGATTTGCCATTTTAAACTTGTGGAAAAAAATAAATGAACATTGAAAGAGAGAAAAACTTAAAGAGTTAAAGTTTGCCAGAAATGGCCGAGAAGCAATGTAGTTGTGGTAATGGTGGTGTGGCTGTATTCAACTAGGACTTTATCTCATTTCAAAAATGAGTGATATGTTATATATATTTATTTATTTGAAATAAATTGTTAACTGAAACTTCAATGTCCTGTAGTTTTCACTGTTATGATTTGTAAGAGTTCGGGCATTCAATCATTTAGAAACTAATGCTGGACAAAAGTATGCATCAATATGTTCTTAATCTTGAGTTTTAAATATTTATGCATTTAGCCTTGAGGGAAAGATGCTAACTGCTAGCAAACTGGAAAGAAGAGCTTGCCACCACAAGATTTATGTGGAGTATCTCGCATAACTCCAATTCTTTGAACCCCACTGTGCCTGGTATTTTAGAGGAAACGTGACCAAGCTTAGTACATTTCACCTAAGAAGAACAAATTAGGTGACTAGGCATGACACATGACATGAGTAATGCTGGCAGAGGCTAACAGTTTGGTGTAGTTGATGATGGTTCTGCTGCCAGGCAGGGCAGATGGTTTCTATCTGCATTGATCTTTTAGTAGCAATTTGATGGGTGCTTGGAGGAATTCAGATGTTGTGGATGCAGACTGCTAACTTCTGTGCCTTTTTTCCCGAGTCGGATATTGTGGATGGATGCAGACTTTAATGGAGCTTTTGAGTCTTTATTTTTGTTCTTTTCTTTTAGCTTGTTTTGTTAAATCTTGTATTTTCATACAATACTACCATATATGGGAGTTGGAGTGCAGGTAACGTGAATTTTATAACTGTGTCTGTTAGGACGGATTGGCTGTTTTTGATTTAACAGGTTGAAGGCATGAGGGGTTTTGCCCTGACTATTCTAACTGCTTGTATCTTGATCTGTGCAGATGGGCATTGCGTAAAGGATACATATTTTGTACAAAGTAATTTAGAGTAAGACATCAGTTTTGGGTGTTAGGGTTTGGTGAACAGTTATTTTTAGTGCTGTACTTGATATGCACATAGCATTGTAAATGTTTATAAAATACAAATGCACTTCCCCCCTTGTGTTAATACTCATTTCTCTCAATTCCCTTGTGCTGGTCATTTGTCTTTCAGCATTGCCGGGGTACAATGCTAACTTGAGTATGCATCCAATGTAAAGATAGTTTCCCATGCCTCATGTAATACTAGATTTCAGTCAAATTAGTGTTGGGTTTTATCAACACAGATCACATGAATTCTCATATATTGTATCCTGCACACTGTCAAATTTTGCAGTCTTGTTTTACCTAAAATCATAGCATAAGCTACATGCACAAATCCATTGAAGCATCAGCTAATGAAAATAATATGAACAAAGCCATTACAAATGTTTACTAAAAAAGCCTGTCAACCAGATGAACAATAGAGCATGTTAGTATATACAACTGAACCCACAATATGCAAGATAAACTAGAGAGCATGTTACTTACGTAATTGGAAAAGAACATAAAACCAGCAAATCAACTCTACCAAATTCGATACTAATTAACAACAAAATAGTCCCAAGTGTAGCAAACATATCCCATACTGCAAGAACAAGACGTAATTTCAAAAGAGATGGGGAAGTAATACGAACTTTGCTTACAAAAAGTAAAGACTTCAAAAATATTAAGAGGCATTTCCCTGTTCATAGATCAATGCAGCAGTCGCTGG